ATTAAAATTAAATAAATCAAATTAAAATTATATAAATAATAATTATATTCATATAATAATAATTAATAAAAATAAAAAAGGAAAGGTTGGATGTTACATTCTACACCAATTGAGATTTTTAAATAACTAGCAAAATATTTAAGTTTACAATAAATATAGGAGCAACAATTTATTATTTATACAAAAATATAACTGAAAATGTAACAAGTCTTAATTTTTTGATTTTCTAAATTTTTAAAATAATTTTAAAGATATAAATGAAATTAACGTGATAGCATAATAATTATTTATTTAAATTTTTAAAAAATATAAAATTTTATTTGTAGTTGATCATATTCTAAATAATTTTATACATAAAAATAAAAATTAATATGATAATATATATAATAATTATCTTTTTAAATTTTTTAAATATAATAAATTTTTTGATATAAATAATAATTTGATAAATGTTTTACTAATGGGAATGACCCACATTTTGATTTTTTCTTTTATAAAAGGTGCAAATTATACATATAACATGCATGATTTATAATAATAGCTGCAAATAATATGTGTATATATATGTGTATATATGCATGACATTGTAATTCCATCATTGCAATACATATTTTACTTGCTTTTCGTTCATTTTTAATTTTCCTTCTTTTGCATCTCAAAAGTGCAAAAAAAAAAAAAAAAAAAAAAACACTAAATAAAACATATATATATTCTTAAACGAGACTCCACATATATACACTAAACTTTAAATACAAATTAAAAACAAACACTAACTTTAATAATTATGTAACTAACAAAATCCTAATAATTTTTAAATACAAACCATAATTAAATAAATAATTATATAACTAATTAAAGTCTAATTTATCTTTAATTTGTTAAACTTGTTATATATTTCTATTATATATTTAAAATTTCTAATAACAATTTACTGTTTATCTGTTTTCAATTAGTTAAAAAACAAAATATTTATTGTTTATAATAATTTTAAAATGTAAAAATATGATTTAAATATTACTCAAAATATTTAAAGAATATTATATAGCACAATTTATTAATTTACTTAACATAATATGTTAATCAATACCATTACAATCTATTATTTATAATAATTATTTTATTTATTTACTATTTATTATATATCTCAATTATTATTTGTGCATAATATATTCTTCATAATATATATTTTTATAAAAATTGTTCATTATAAGCCTGTCTAAATAGAGTAAAAATTATTTTATTTAATTTTATTTTTATTTATTCAAATAATGCTACTATATAAAGTTATATTTGAAAATCTAAAATTTATTTAAATTTACTTTAAGCAGAAGATATTTAAAGTATTTCCTAAAAAGATAAAATTGATATTATATATCAATATAAATTTAGAATATATTATTTCATTTATTAGTAAAATAAATATATACATTCAATTTTTTGTTGTGGTAATATAAACTTTCTATAATTTATAAATTTATTAAAAAATTAACCTAAAATATAATTTTTAATTTCATTTTATTTATTTTAATTTGGTTTCCATTTCATTTCATTGCTGAGCTATCTCCTCGTACAAAGCGTAATTATAAACTCTTTATGATTTTGACTCGTTGTGGAAAAAGGAAAAGCCAGGACAAAACGACTCCCGTGAAACAAACGTCAGTGGAGGGAGTTTTCTTCCATTTATGAAATTTCTCTTCTCCGATTCCCGCTGACTCTATATAGCTTTTCCAAAGCTCATAAAGGAAGAAGAAGTGGAAGAGATTGAGGTTATCCGCAATTTGCTGAGAAAAAATGGCGTTAAAGATCGGTCCCAGGGATGTCACTGGTTTCAAATTTTTGTTCTCTATCGCAGTCATGTATGGCTTAATGGCGGCACTGGTCTACTGCGTGATTCACCATAAGTTCATTAGGTCGCTAGGCGTCGACGCACCACTCGATCGTTTTTCTGAGGCTAGAGCTATTGAACATGTCCGATTCCTGTCCGCAGAGATCGGTGGTCGTCAAGTAAATAAACAATTCAATAGTATTTTGCCTCATAATTAGTTCATTCCTTCTGTTATTAATTTCCTTGCTATGATTCCTGTTTGGTTGGTTCTGTCAGATATTTCATTTTGCATCATGATTAGTTCCTTCCTTCTGTTATTATTAGTTTCCCTGCTATGATTCCTGTTTTGTGGTTCTGTCCGATTTTTTTTTCTTTGGACTTTGGGAAGTGAAAGAAAACAAAGGAACTTATATGTGATTTTGGAAACCGAACGTTCATATTATTTAATTGAAGATTCTTGGTGGTTAATGTAGGAGGGACGTCCGGGACTGACAGAAGCTGCTCGGTATATTAAAGGGCAGTTAGAAATGTTAAAGGAGAGAGCTGGATCCAATATAAGGTTGGTGTGATTCTTTTATAGCCTTTTTTTGCTGGTTTCTTTTTGAATATGAAGTCATGATTTTCCGTTTTTAGTGGGCTGGTCCTATTACATCTAATTAGTAGGTATCTGTAGTTAATTTTAATGTGCACTTTTAATGTATTGTAACCACGAGGAAGTTCCACTATTTCACTGATGTACTGTAAATTGTTATTTTGCAGAGTTGATGTTGAAGAGACTCTGGTTAGTGGCTCCTTCAGTATGATGTTTTTGGGCTACAGCATATCACTTGGATACAGAAATCATACAAATATAATTATGAGGTGTCTTTCTTAGCTTATTTGGATATATTTGTTGGTTTTAGTCCATGACCTGAGAGAATAACATAATAATTGGAAAATCTTTAAATGGCAGTTTCTTTCGCTATTAAATTCAAAAGAAAAAAGATTTGTAATTATTAATTGTGATCGCATAACATGCATGCAAGTGGTGCTGCTTCATTTACATTCTAAGGTTTGATGTGAAAAATTGAGAAAAATAGGAGGATAAAAAGGTCTTTTACCTAGTCGAGATATCCGACGGGACCACAGCTTATGTTTCATTCCTCAGCTTATGACAAGAAGTATACACTGGGCTATTATAAATTTGTATGAAGTACCTTGGTTACTTAAGTAAAAAACAGTCTGCAGTAACAAAGTTTAATGCCGATGAATATAGAACTAAGACCTAGGGTGTGTGAATTAGCATTGCTGCAGAATTTATTGCATGGATGGAAGGTGTTAGATGGGAAAGGTCTAACATTTTACTCTGACCACAAGCATAATCGGCAATTCCACAAACCTGCTTTTAGTGGCAACACAAAGCACATTAAGATTAATAGACATTTCATCAAGGAAAATGTAAGTGGTATTTTGAACATATACTAAGTGGTTCTTGAGACTAGTTAGCTGATGCTTTTACAAAAGGTCTCGACAGTATAATTTCGTGGATTGATTTGCAAGATGGGTATGTGAGACATTTATGATCATTTTGAGGAGCAGCATTGGCTATCATCCGTACTTTCATAGTTCAAAATTAATCTACTTTCTTTTTGTACTGTAAATATCTTTCGCGTATAAGGTGTGCATCCCTTGAATATTTCCCTTTGAAATTTTAACTGCCCATAGCTAGTTATTTTGTACAGAAATCAATTATATATATGTAAAACTTCATATGATAAACAACACAGCATTATTCTCTTCCTCCGTTTTCATGATGTTTCAAGACATAGCAATTAAGAGGCACAATGTTTTTGTGTGTTTTTGGTTTCTATGGTTTTAGGAGAATACTTTGTCCTTTGATCTTGTGTGCTCTTTCTTTATTAATTTGATATTTTTCCCTATATGATAAAAAATCTAGAATCCTATTGAGGAAGTAAAAATTGGAGAATCATAGAATGTATTACAGTTTACGCATGAATGATAGCCACTCGGTTACTTGGTGGTGGTGGTGGTTATTTCAGTGAAGTGCAATTGATAATTGATTGAGAGAATGAATATGCTTCCATTAGCCTTCTTTTATTTTATAGCATTTGGTTAAGAAACAAACATCTTCATACGTATTTTGTTGGCAACGTTACCAATATTTTGATTATGCTTGAACCTAAGTCAGAAAATTTGGATACCATTTGAGCAAAAAAATTGCTCTTCTGCTACTTTTAGAAAATGAAAATGGTAAACAACCATGAAAAATTACACCCACAGACTTGGGCGATATGTGCATCTCTCAACTAGGGCATTCGAAGTTCAAGTTTCCTTTGCCCAACTATTTCCCATCAAGAAAAAAAAGAAAACTATGGTGAAAATGTTGGAGGCAATCCCAATGCTTTTACTTTAAAAGCTTAAGAGATCAAATTATTGTATTCCAAATTTCCAGTTTATATATATTTTCTCCACAACTATGATCAGTAATCGATGTGTATCTCTAGGTGTATTGACAGGGATTATTCTTTTTACCTTGCTACTTTTTTATTAAACTTAACTTTTATTTAATGGCAGGATATCATCGTTGGATTCACAAGATACTGACCCCTCAGTGTTACTGAATGCACATTTTGACAGTCCACTTGGCTCACCTGGTGCTGGTGATTGTGGTTCTTGTGTTGGTGGGTACATTCTGCATCTAAATCAAATTTTGGATGTTATACTGGCTATTCTTGTTTAATCAAATTATAATATCTTGTTTTCTGCATCTGCAGCATCTCTGCTGGAATTAGCAAGACTTAGTGTAGATTCTGGCTGGGTTCCTACTCGACCTATTATTTTTCTTTTCAATGGTGCAGAAGAACTTTTCTTGTTGGTAATATATTATTTTAATATATTATATACCAAAAAAATCTGTAAATGGATTATTTATTCCAAAATTACGCAATTTCTAGGTTTCTGTTTTTGATATCAAATTCATGAATTTCTGCATAGATATCTTTTTGACTAGGGAGGTCACTTTAGAAATTAGTGTTCTTTCAGATTTTTGTTTGGTTTTTGTAATTTATCAAAATCAACATCTAGCAAGGTTCTGTTTTTCATGCAATGCTTCTCTTCCGTTTTTTTTCCTGGTTAAGTTCTTCTGTGCTTGACACTGTTCTGTGAAGTCCATTGTTCATGCAATAAAATTCTTGTATCTCTTACAGCTTCCTTTGTTATCTTACTGTTATTTACCATCTTTCTATATGAATTATAAATGGGGCATCTCCTTAATTCTTTTTTTCCTGCTGCTGTTGATGGATCATGGGCGGGGTATAAACAGCATACGTTAAGAAAAAATTGATAATTCAATTGATTGTTATTCCTAATTTTATCTCATTTTACAAAATTACCAGCACCTGATTGGTTCTGTGCGCCTGTGTGGACGTCTTAAATTTGGCCTTGCATCTTTGTGGTGTATTACTGTGTATTTAATAATGTTTCAGCTTGCAATCCCAACTGGCATGATGTTAAAAGTGAAGGATTTTATGCAGTTTCTTTTTCTCATAGCGTAAGGATTTTATGCAGTTTCTTCTCACAAAAGTTGTTTATGATATGTGAAAGTTCCCTTGAATTTGGTTTTCTGTTGCTGTGTTTTCTTTCATTTTTGTTGCCTCTATTTCGTAATTATCGTCCAAACTGGTTGTATTAATAGTAAGACCAATAAATTTATTTTGATGAATTAGATTGTAGGAATTGA